TATTGTGTAATTTTGTTTGTTGCACACATGTGCTCTGCACACTTAATAAATATATACAACACTGATGCGTGGTGTGGTGAGGGCCCTCAAACCTTCCTAGGGATGCCCAGCCCTTAACAGCTTTTTGATCACCATTCTGTGTTTTAAACGTGTTCCTTCTGTGTTTTAACCACGTGCCTTCTGTCTTTTCTCACTTGTCATTGCAGAGCATCTCTGGCAAGGACAACTGTTGCTTATGAGAAGATTTTTAGTAGAACATTAACATTTATAACTGTCTTACAGTTTAGCAGCTACACACTGGCTGAGGAACGCTTTGTGGCACGTATTTATTTTGGACAGTGTTAGGACAGATTGGGATCTCTTCTGTGGAGTGTACTCCTGCTGTGTTTTCACAAAAATATCTTTAAGTGCTTTTCTAAACTGATGGATTCTTGATTTAGTCATATTAATAAATATTTAGCAAAAGGTATGCACTTGTTTTAGAAGACAAAAAATGTAAATGGTATGAAAATGCAGTTATGGATCTTGTGAGGAAAAAGAAGGATTAAAAACCCATTTGTGGCTATTTTAATTCTAATATATGTTTTTAGGGAGCTAGAAATGTGGAATTGTAAAGGTATTTTATCTTCCTCTTACAATTTCAACTCTGTTATCAAAGGCTTTTAATATTTGGGGGGGGAAATGAGTGCCATTCTGATGCAAAAAATGCCTTTGAATTTTCACATTCAGGTCTGGTGCATGTTTTGACTGCTGAGTGTTTATAAACTTTTTAAAGCTCTATCCTTTTTATTCCCTGAAAGGAACACATGTTTTTGAGGGAAAACGCATTAACTTCAGTTGCGTTTTATCTTTCTGTGACAAGAAGCAACAATGTATATTGAAAGATTGGTGCTGAGGTTGCAACACCTTGCACGCAAAACCTGATTTATGATCTTGGGTGCAAGACACTCAAACTAAGATTGAAAACCTGTATTGTAGTGCAGATTCATAAGACTCTCCTTTTACCTTGTGTCCTAGTAAGATGCCTGTCTTACTGCTGCTTTTCATGTCAATCTAAGATAGAATTGAATGACATTCAGAACACACTATAGCACCTAAATCAAATAATGAAAAGAAAGGCGCTAATTTCCAAGAAAGGATTGCGGGTGATTAAATGTAAGCAGATATCCCAAACTTACTAGCATCTTTCAGTTACCCTGAGGGGCAAAACCCATGAGGGTACAGGCATGCATGGTGAGATGCATGGGTTCCGGCTGCTGGGCAAAAATGCCCGTGCAGTCTGGGGACACAAAACTCTCTCAAAATTTGAGGAGTCCGGTCAGTTATGGTCAAGACGACTTGTACACAAATCCTCACTACTTGCAGTCACCCATTCAAAGGCCGGCCGGGAAGAGAGGATAGCTGTGACGACATAAGAGCTCTCCAACTTTCCTAGGGATGCCTACATCTCAATAGGTTTTTAATGACCATTTTGTCTTTTGATTGCCAGCTGCTCCCAGTGCCTGAGGTTGACCTGACTTGCAGCTTGTCCTGTGTCCTTTGATGGTTCTTTTGTCTTGGGGGCTGCCAGACCCTCTGAGCCCATATCTGGGGGTCAGGGAAAGTTAGCATCCTGTCTGTATTGCATGCCCATGTCCTCACCGTAGAGACAGGGCTGGCTTGGGTTCCTTCTCAAGCTGGGAGGACCTGGAATTGTACGTATCCTGCCCAACTTTCATTAGTCCTTCTGAAATTGGGCCGCGGAGCGGAGGGTGTATGATGCTAGAAAGAAAGTCTTCCTGAGGGAGGCTGGCTCTGTAACCTAGTTGGTTATGGCGCTCGCCGGTGAAGAAGACCTTGGCAGCCCATCTCTGTGGGTTTTCTGGATCGTCCTTTAGAAGTGTCTCTCTGCATTAACTTCCTGATGAGCCCTGGTGTGTAATTAGGATGCTTTTAATTACCCTGCTGGGTAACCTCACCCCATTAATGATTTTGAAGCAGGCACTCCGGATTTCACTAGTGTCTGTCTGCTGTGATCTTTAATAGTGAGCTTTACAGATTTTTTAATTTTAAATACGTTTTCATTTTAGGTAAAACACATATTATAGTCTGTTTGCATGTAAAAATTAAACCAAAATGTTCATTCTGATGCAGGTCTGAAAGAGGTCTGCATAACTGATTTTAAGCAATAACTTTAATTAGCTCAAATTTTGAAAGCGGCCTCCAGTTATTGATTCTCATTTATCATGCTTATATGTGAGTTATATGAATATTTTCTGACATGGAATTTTTGCTTTCTTTCAGCCTTTCTTCCAGCTTGTGAAGTTACGGAAACTTGGACTTAGTGATAATGAAATCCAGCGACTGCCTCCAGAAATAGCAAATTTCATGCAGCTGGTGGAACTTGATTTGTCTCGAAATGGTAAGCTCCAATGTTAATTTGTTTGATTCTATACTGTCCTATGACATGGCCTATAAAACTGGGTTAGTAGGGTTTTTCTGTCTCTGAAGTTGCTATCTATGTCCTGCAGAATGCTTTTCTGCATAATTTGTGGATTTGTCTGTGTTTCTGGATGGGGAGGAGGGAAGGAGCAGAGGAGAGCTGGTGGTGGAAATACAGTAATAAAATAACGCTTGACCGTAGTTCTGCCTTTCTGAGAGCCTGCTTTATTTTCTGATTTAAAGAATGCTTTACATCCTATTTTTATATGTGTATCTGTCACAATGTTGATTTCTTTCCCCAAGCTCTCTGAAATGCCTAGAATTTAAGAAGAAATAAAAAAAAAAAAAAAAGAGGTTGAAGGAAGAAGGCTCCTTTCTGTTCCTCAGAAAAAGGCTGCCTATGGGTTAGAAGTCCAGTTCTTTATCTCTGCTCTTTACCTGTGATTAGCAGAGGCAGCGTGCTGGTATTTCTAGTTGTACTTCTTGAAGAAGAAAAGGATGCTGGGAGAAACTGTCTTTTAAAATGTGTTGATGTGTTGCTGGAAACCACATAGGTTTATCATTTGGTTGTAACATTTGTTGCTTTTTTTTGTCCTGAGCTGTGATGGAGTGAACACCGCTTTTTTTTTTTGTTGTTGTTGTTTGGTTTTTTTGTTTTTGTTTTGTTTTGTTTTTTTTGTTTGGTGGCCTGGTGAACTTACCAGTTCTGCAAGAAGTTCAGGGGCTGGTGGGTCACCTTTAAGCAGCCTTACAACCCAGTGATCTAGAAACAGCAAATCCATGTTACCAAATTAGAGCAGCTGTCAGCTATTTTTGCTTCCTTATGTGCAGTGGATATGCACAAAATGCTCTCTAAGGTGTGGTGGGTGGGGTGGGAGAGAGGAAGGTTGTGTGTGAGGGATGTAACTGAATATTAAGAGAAGAAATAGTGCAACAGGGAGCCTTTTTTTTTCTTTACGGTTTAACCTCACATTGACCCTTTGTGACTGAAGAATATTCAGTGGCCCATTCACCTTCCTGTAAATATCTGAAATTTGCATCTTTCCTTCATTTGTTTGGTGCTTTTAGTACCATCTTTATCTGATAATATAATTGATGAAGCGTAATGAGTCTATAGGCAGTTGCTGAAAAATTTATGTGAACCATATAATTTTATGCACATTTGCAAAACCTTGTATGAGAAGAAAACTGGAAAGAAATCATCTGAGAGACAGAAGAAACACATTAGTTAGAACATTTTAGAAATACATGAGCATTAATCGATGAAGTATTTTGGCTACTGAGTTTGGCTGAGTTGGGTGCTATCTGTGACAGACCTTATACAAAAGGAAACACTGCTGGCGTAGTAATTCTCTTTGCAAATGAATAACTAGCTGCAAAAGAGCTGGTTGATCAGAGCCATGTGAACTCGTGTCAGCCTGACTTGGAAGTTGGCCTGAGAGCTCAACTGTAACGAGAACAGATGGTGTGAACATTTATGGTTGGGTAGATGCGTGTGTGTCATTAGAAGTTACTGCACAAGGAAGTGTTTTCTCAAATGATGGGTTGGACTACTGCGGGTGGCAGGGAGCAGTTGCTTTCCTATATCCAAGGTTCAGTGTTAATCGCCCGTTTTATTGCATTACTTTCTCTTCTTTGTGGTTCATTGCAGAAGGTGACCGATACTGCTTCCCTCTGCTTAATCATGTCACAGTTATTGCGTGACTTGACTCTTCAAATGAAAAAAGCACCATGCGAGGTGATGCAGGGGGGCCATGGCAGAAGATGACTGATGTTACTTTCCGCTCTTTGGTCATGTTATGGTTGTCTCACAGCACTTTAAATTAAAAGGCAAAACACACACCATCTGGGATGCTGCAGGGCGAATTCTCACATAAGATTTTGGAGATTTACAGTATTTCCGTTTCTTAGTTTTGTATTTTGAACCCACCTTCCAATATGTCAGATTCGGAACCTGCCAAAGGTTTTTCCTGTTCAGTGGTTTGCACTCCATCAGTTTTTGCTTTTTTAACTACCGAAGTACTTTGGAAAAAAAGAAATAGGAACTCTTTGTATTCCTTTCAGGCAGAGAAAAACAGCCCAGCTTTTCAAAACGCAGTATGCTGCATGAATAGGAAAGTGTGATGGTGACATCTGAACTTGGGAAATAAGAGATCATTGTTCTGTGTTTTTTGTTGTTTTAGCTGTCTGGTTTGGTGCACTAATTGCTTTCAGTTCTGGCCATTCTGTTTCCTCAAGAGCTTAAAAACACAAACATAAATTCATTTAATGTTCTGTGTACAGGAGTAGTCCTTCATATTTTAACCTCTCATCACAGGAAGAGCCGGAAAGGGTTTTGAATAAACAAAAGTACTTCCATTTCCCTCATAATAAAATGGTAACATGTCCTCCTTTCTAATACTTCCTAATCCTTTGGTCTGTGTATCATCTCTGAAGCTCCATGAGGTGGTGGGTATATCATATGGCTGGGCTTGGGTGCGCTTCCAGGCTGCAGTGGCCAGCTGTGTTTTCTGCAGCGTTGAGGTGTTGCATTTGGAGGTGGGATCGATCCCCCCAGGTAGGATCCCTCCCGACTCTTTGGAGATAGCTCTGGATGCCTGTGCAATGTAGTGTTATCCACTGTGTAAGTAGCCCCTAGTTCATAGGCACTCAGGAAAAGTGAACAGGGAAACTCTTAAGTGTGGCTTTCTTAAATTCCCAAGTGTTTTAAAATACCTGAGACATGCTAGTATATGTTAAAATGTGCTACATAATTAATCGTTTAAGCAGTTTTTGGTTAATAAGTTAATCTAGAAATGCAAACATCCTTCTAAGTAAAACTCAAAAATCTTCAGCAGATGTAAAATTGATGCTCCTGTGATCTTGGGTGTACGTGAGAGAAGTCTGGGGAGGGTAAGGTGAGAGCCTTAGTGGTGCAGAAGGCGAAGGATTTGGGGAAGGCTAGGAGCCATATAATTTTAAACTTTTCCTGGATTATTTGCATGTTGATGCTATTTCTTGCTCCTCTGCAAGGCCGTGTGTTCATGCAGATTTCCTAGGAAGCATCCCTGCCGTGCTTTTCTGGTCTGGCTGAGGCTGTTATTTGAGCAAAGGTTGAACAGATGAATCGAGGATGGGAATATCAGAGGGCAGGGAAGCTGTGCTAAGAAAACAGCATAGTGATGGTGAACACTTTGAAGGTTATTTGGCAATGCAGTTTATCTCTGCCCCTTGGTCTTAGGTTGTTCGAAAAGCTGATGTACTAGTTCTGAGGCTAAAGAAAACAGACTCCTAGGGTTTCAGCAGTGGATGCCTGAGCTTTTGAGTTGCTGGCAAAGCGTGTCTGAGACTCGGAGTATTCCCTGTAGCATCTTCTGAGACAGATGCTCAACTGCTGTGTGTTTGAAACTATCGCTGGTTCCCTCAGACTCCCCAAGCTGGGGTAAGTCTTTTCCTGGATTCTTGTATCACTGGTGAATTCTGCAAGGACACTGGGTCACTGAAGCGTCCTTGCTTGACGTCCTGGAAGTTTGGGTAGGGCTCCTGTGCTTTGCGTTGAGTTTCAGTGCAAGTCTTTGCTCTACGCAGTAGAGGAGAGATTCTGCTTTAGGCACAGTCAGAAGTGCCTGTGTGCTATTTGTTTTCCCATAGCACTTGGGCACTCTCCAGGACAAGTCTCAAAAGACCCTGTGATTCAGAAAAGAAGTGCAGTCTCCAAAGTAAAAAAGACATGCTCGGATTTCTGCAGTTTTTTTCCTTGCATCTCAGCTGGCACTTCATTAAGCTTCCCTGTCTCCCAAAGTGCGTGCTGCTTGTTTGAGGTCCCTGGGAATTGTAGCAGGCCGCTACCCATGCTGCTCATCCAACAGAGGCTTCCTCCAGTGACTTCCTCCCCCCTTTTTTTTCTGTGCAACTCCTGGAGGCTGAATTCTTAGAGCTTAGGGCCCTGCCATCCCAGATTCATTAAAATGTTAATGGCTTTTCTTGTTCTGTAGCTTCTTCCAGACAGGAGGGGTAATGCATAGTTTCTGTATTTCATTTAATGCATGCTGGTATTTGGGATTATGTATGCTACGTATGTATGCTGTGTTCTTGCAGACGTGGTACATTCCTTTTTAGTATCCCTATTCTCCAAGGAGAGGGTTTTTTGTTTGCCTTTGACAAGTATTAGATCCTCCAGATTCCACTGATATGTTTTTGTCATGACATTGCAAGCTCCTTAAAATGCCCTGAAGGTGTTAATTTAATTGTAGTATTTTTCATTTGAAAGAAATTGCTACCCCTCCCCCCACAACTTCCTCTTAACAGGTGTGGAAGTCTGGATTTTTTTTTAATGTCCTATACCTTTTCCAGCCTTTGACAGATTGTCAGCAGCTTGTTTCATTCAGCTCTTTTAGGATAAGAAAATCACTGTGAGCTTTCACACTGGGCAGTGGCTGCTGGGTGTTAGGCAGTGGGGTGGCCTTCCTACTCTTCCCAGTTTCAGGAGTGCCATTTGACCCATCCCACTGTGCGCCCCCCTTCTTGGGTGAAGACTGACCCCCTTACCTAGATGAGTCTCTTGCATTTCTGTGTGTGCCTACTTGTTGCCGTCTCCCTGTGATAAAAGCCTGGCCGGCTTCTCCCCTGTTACTCTTCTTGCTTCCATTGACCATGCCTGCCAAGGACTTGGTCATGCAAGCCCGTAGCATCAATGTAGTTGCTGTGTGCCAGCAGATTTGCACTAACTCTCTGTAGTGGCTCTCTAGCTGGCAGCAGATAATAGGATTCAATTTGGCTGTTCCTCTGTAGAAGTGCTCTGTAACGTTGCAGTTTGGTCTTCCGTCCAAGCCCCGAGTCTCAAAACAGTGGAAAAGATGCAAGTGTGTGTGCAATTAAATGGATTTTGATAATCTTTGTAGATGGCTTATGCTGGCTCTGTTGCTGATTCCGCTCTGAGCAGAGCTGAGACCTGCTACTTTGTGAACTGAGGAGCGATGGGTTTGCTGTAGCATCTACCGA